AAAGAGAGAGAGATAGGCTCCAAGCACAACCTTAGAATGCTCCCCAAAGTTTTATTAGATAGTAGTTTTTTTAAAGGTAAGGTGTCATGGTGGTAGGATGAGCTTGATATTTATGGGGGATTGGTCTTGCTGATTGGATAATATTGATTGTCTTGGATTGTCGAAACATCTGCACATGCTCCACCCAAAATTTGTTTATCAAATATCACTTGTTATCGTTATTATTACATTTATTTATAAATCTTTAGCAAAACACATCAAGATAGCTATACGTTTTAACATTTAATCTTCTTTAATGGTCAAACAGCAAAGCATTTTACCATTCCATTTGAGTTCTGCTTAATTTAAGGAGTTCATGAGTTCACATACTTTTTTTTTATAATAAGCACAATGAAATATATTTGACTATTAGAGTAAAATATGCTTAATTTGATAAATCTAGTAAGGATTATATTCCATGGAATGGCAACAAAAAAAAGAAGCTAAATATTACACAGTAAAACCTGATAAGTTTACTCAAACTGTTTGAGGAAACTAAACCAGTACTTTTACTCGATATTTTTCAAGAACCTTCTATACAGCTAAAGTGACATTAAAAGACTTAACTAGGTTAGTTAGGTTGACTAGGCAGGTTACTGTAATTAGGCAAGTTATTGTATAACGATGATTTGTTCTGTAGACTATCAAAAATTTAAATAGCTTAAAGGGGCTAATAATTTTGGCCTTAAAATGGTTTTAAAAAAAATTAAAAACTGCTTTTATTTTAGCCGAAGTTAAACAAATAAGACTTTCTCCAGATGAAAAAATATTATCAGACATACTGTGAAATATTCTTTGCTCTGTTAAACATCATTTGGGAAATATTTAAAAAAGAAAATAAATTAAAGGGGGCTAATAATTCTGACTTCAACTGGTATCATATCGATATCAACACAACTAATAAATGAGTATATGACTCTCTCTATATAAAAACATTCAGAGTATTAGTAACTTAAACATTTATCAACAGTTATCCATCCATCCATCCATCCATCCATCCATCCATCCATCCATCCATCCATCCATCCATCCATCCATCCATCCATCCATCCATCCATCCATCCATCCATCCATCCATCCATCCATCCATCCATCCATCCATCCATCCATCCATCCTTCCTTCCTTCCTATTTATTTTTCTGTTTTTTTTATTCTTTGCTTATGGTTAGCGAGTATTCACATTTAGAATTCTGTCACCAGAAAGGCATTTTCATTGGTGACTAATCTAACTCTTCTGATTGGCTATTGCATTCCTAAACTCAACAGGACTTGGTGTGACATTTATTTATTTTTACATTTCACTTTAATCAACATAATATGTTGTTTTATTTTGCATACACATTTTTTTCACTCAGTTCTTTTGAAATTTAGGCATTTTTGCCCCAAGACCTGTTATTTTCCAACTGTGGTTCTTATGCTGACTGTAATCTGCCATCTAAAAGCATTAAATTCAATAGGTTGGCCACAAATGACTTTAAAATCATTATGATTTTGACAGAACTAGTCACTATATGCAAATCTTTTGCCAGACTTTCAAGCCTACTTTCCTGTAACACATTGTTTTGCTCACCAGTGAATTGCTCACTTTATATTATGTAAAATTTTTGCTTTAAGGTTTTTGCTTGGTGACAGACTTGCTGCAAGCTTGATGTTGTTAATGTTTTTTTCATTCAGAGGTGGGTTGGCAACATTGATTAATAATGCAGTGACACGAGCGGGTAAATGGGATGTCTCTTCATTCAGTTTTATGTTTTGCATGTGTGATGTACACAAACAACATTTGATCTCTTTCTATGTATATATACACTGTAAAAAGTGATTTGTTGACTTTACTTTAAAAAAGTGAGTAAACCCGTTCCTTTTAAATTGATTACACTCAAAAAATAAATTATTGCACATTTTTTTTGGTTTACTTGATTATTTTATGTTCAATCCACCTAATTGATTTGTGTTTGAACAACATGAATGAATTGTGTGGAAGCCTGCATTGACCAACATATGCTCAATCTGAAAACGTAGCCCTTTATACATTTCTGGAGACCTCTAATTATGTAGCCAGAGGAGCGTATGGCTGCATTTCATCTTTAAAACAAACGCTATGGGGTGTTATGATGGCGTTCCTTTTCTCACTTACCAGCTGACTGCTTACCTCCGTATTGATGGCTTTTCCGCTGTTACCAGTTTGCCCAGTATCAGTGTCAAAGGGTGCTTTTAAAAACACTATTGGTTGGGTTTTGGGAAAGAGGCTGGGTCAGTCGATCAGTCAGTCATAAGAGAAATTTGAGATTCTGGTGGACTAATGGTGGATTTGCCAAAACAAAAACTGCATTAAAAATTTACCTCCTGAGACATATTTTGCTCTCTCCAGAAATGTATATAGGGGTACGTAATCAGAATAAGCCTGCATGGGTTGTTTTTTACTGTGTAGTTGACTTTAAAAATATATATTTTTTTGCCTTAAAATTATTCATTTATTCATTTCCTTCTGCTTAGTTCCTTACTTATCAGGGGTCACCATTGCGGAATGAACCACCAAGTATTCCGGCATATGTTTTTACACAGCGGATGCGCTTCCTTTTTACTGGGAAAACCTTCATATTGTTTATTAAACATAGTTATTAAATTTAAGTTACAGTTTTTCTCAGTCACTTTGGTGCATTTCTCACAACACTTTTTTACATTTGCACAACAGTTAATGCATTTCTTAAAACAATTAGTCGTTTGTGCACATCGTAGTAGGAGTTTCTCATTCTTTCCAACAAATTGCAAATGCTATTGGACATGCATCAATTGCTTTCATACAACTCTCGGCTGTTTTATAACATTATCATTTGCTTATGTCATGACAGTCAAAATTAACTAAACTTAAATAGTCACACTATATAAAACTAATAGTCCTCATTTCATTACTTGAGTCATTACATACAAAAATGTTGAACTAGTCAAAATCTGTCAAGATAATTTTATTACAACTTTAAATCTTTTTCTTTTCCTGAAAATGTCTTCTAAATTGAACAATTTCATGAATGATTTACAGACCTATATGTTGTAGGTTCAGTTCCAATATGTACTGCAATATTGTTTACAGTTGTGCACAGCTTTACCCAAAGGAAATTTATGTTTGTTGTAAATAAGGGTGTATTTACTCTTTTGCACAATGCTGTGAATAAATTAGAATTGCAAAGAGCAAATGCAGTAAAAATGTGAAACGTATTCAGTGTCTTGTACTCAGATACCTCACTAAATGCAGTGATGTCTAACTTTACTGTAGTTTTCAAATGGCTTTGCACATAGTAAAAAGTGCTGTCTTGAGCATTTTCAGGAAGTGTCACCAAAATCAGACTTTTTTTGAAATAATTAGAGTAAACTGTCATAATGAAATCATGGCAAAGCCTTTTGACTATTTCGTTCATACACAATAGTATCAGAACGTTTCAGCTTAATGACACTGACACTTTCACTGACATGAATACTTGCTTTTGAGAAATGAGCAATCCATTTTGAGCAAGTGACACGCTTTTGCAGGTTATCAACTAGGTTTTGCAGTTTGTACTAATTGTTTTGAGAAATGCATTAACTGTTGTGCTAGTGTAAATAGTGTTGTGAGAAATGCACTAAAGCCACTGAGAAAAACTGTAAGTCAAGTCTTAGGCATGTTAAGCCAACCCAATAGTTTCATGTTACAACGTGTTTACTCACTTTTTTAAGTCAACCTATCGCTTTTAAAGGTTCAGGGCACATTGTACTTTAAAAAAAAAAAAAAACAGATTTGTTTGTGTTGAGCATCAGATAATGTTAGCGCCTGTCAGCTTTAATTGTGGGGAAAACTGGATCATTTTGAGCTTTTGTCAGCTAATTTCATCTTTCAGGTTTAAAATAATTTTTGGGGTATGATCAAAATCGGTGATGTAGTGCGAATCTGCTAGTGAATTTATGATGCGTTGGTTTCGCATTATTATTTATAGCTGAGTGAGAAGACCCTGCTTCTTGATTATTCACGACCACACAAAAGCAAGGCAGACCTGCCAAGCTGTGACCCAATGACTGGGTGATACCGCGTCTGCACGGCACGGGTCGTACTGTATGTGTTTTTTCCATGATCCACAGGGTTCGTTGCATGGTTTTCCCTGCGATTCTGTCAGGCCCGATACAGCAAAGCTGTTGGTTTGCAGCAAGCATTTTTGTTGGGAGAGCTGTACGAGAACTGGAGAATGATGGACTTTGTCTTTTATCAGTTAAGTTCGTTACCATTCAGACGCATTGGCTATCTGTGTTGCGGTATTCGCCTATGTTTAAAATCCTCCGGATTACCGGCAGGGCTAATGGTTAAAATAGATATGGCAAGAGACCTGCTGCCCTGCTATCCACTGTCTGCATTCAGATCCGGGGATTGAAGAGGAGAGAAGTCATCCTTATTTACAGTGTTTATATAAACACGATTATCTTTATGATGATATAACAAACTGTGGTTATGTGTTTATAAAATTACAAACAGTGACAAATGTTGCAGGGTATTAAATTGCTTACTGTTTATTTCTTTGCATTTTTACTTTGTAAACTATAAAATCATGGGTCTCCTTACGGTTTGTGTCTCATTTTCTGGGGCAATTGACAACAGTTGTTCGTTCCGCTCTTTTCCCCTGTTCTGCCGGCCACGCCCACTCCTCCCTCTGCTGGCAGCGATCCACGCCCATCTCGAAGCACTTTTTGAAAATATTCTGAGGTAAACTTGAACCGAAAGAGGGGGGTTTTCATGGCTCTTTAAGGGAATGAGTTTATTCACTTTTATAAAATAAATTAACTAATCGCTTTTTACAGAGTAGCAGAAAACTCACACTGATCACCAAACTAGTTGCTAAAGACTTTGATCTCCGATTATCATGATTTTTTGTATCAAATCAGGCAATCTCATAATTTCAATTAAAACAAAGAATAATAAAAAAAATACATTCACTACCAGACATTATTTATATTTTATTTGATATTATTGTGCTTGTCAAAATACAGTTCGTAGTAAAATACATCACATTCCTAGATTATTAAAAAACTATAAAACATCTCTAATAATTTGTTACATATTACTTGCAGAAAACATTTAAAGTCTGTAAATTTCTTTGGAAACATCAGACAATTTGATAAAACTTCAAAAAGATAAAACATTTACTTGTATAATATAGTGTTTGATTATGTTGCTAGGTAATTTTGCAGTCTTTGAAGCTCCCTTTTATCCAGTTAAGTTGGATTGCATCACTGTATAAAGTAGGTATGTGCTTGTCCATTTTCCTGCACGTTTGTTCTTTAACTCTTCTTTCAAGACATAATGACAGGAATGGTGATAGTTATGTAATGCTGCTACTTCATTTGTTCTTAACATTCATTTTAGGAAGGAAGCGAATGCATAATACAGTATACATGTGATATTAATACCTAGTCTCATAGTGATGTGTTAGTACCATGGTGTTTACAAAGTCTTGAGGCACTGGAAAGTTCATAAAGTTACCCTGAATAAGATATATGAGAAGCGTTAAGTAGTATACTGTATGCGTTCTACATTGTTAAGCTGTCTTGGTGAAAATCAGTGCGTTTAAATCAGCAGCAGTATTTGATGTCAATTATTGTTTTTGCTACATTTTTCTCACTACATTGCTGACTATCCTTTGCAGGTCTTCAGTTCGCATTCTGGTGGTTTCCAGGACTTCTTCATGATTGGCCCGTTCCTTGCTGTCGTAGTCGGTCACTACTTTGTTGGTAATAAGGGAAAGTCCAAACACACGTATCCCACAGTGCCGAGCGATCACCACTTCTGGAACGGTACTCATGCCTGTTCACACACAAAGTATTTTTTCATGAGAAATTTAGGAAAACAACTTATCAGTGATGAAAGCTTATTTTTGTGGCAGCCGTGACATTTTTTGGATTTTTTTTAATAGGAAAGGTGGTTAAATTTGTTTATTATTATTATAAATGCCCTAACTTAAATACATTAAATGCCTTCTTTTAGACTTGAAAGAAAGAAAGAAAGAAAGAAAGAAAGAAAGAAAGAAACTTGCAGCAGAAAAATAAAATATCTAAAAAAAAAGGTGAAATTGTAGTTAAAAGGTTCACTGAAATTAAAATTTACTGTAAAAACCATTAACTCTTAATTTTTTTATGTTAAAATATCAACTTAATGATTTTTTAAAATATTTTTTAAAAACTGAGAGAGTAAAAACTAATATAAAGAAAGTCCATGACACTAAAATATTGCCACAATTATTAATTCAACCACATAGGATGGAGGAAGGCATGGTGGCTCAGTGGTTATCACTGTCGCCTCACAGCAAGAAGATCACTGGTTTGATTCTCGGCTAGGCCTATTGCATGTTCTTCCCGTTTTGGTATGGATTTCCTCCGGGTGTTCCAATTTGCCCCACAGTCCAAAGACATGCACTATAAGTGAATTGGGTAAACAAAATGGGCGTAGTGTATGAGTGTGTGTGTGTGTGTGTGTGTGTGTGTGTGTGTGTGTGTGTGTGTGAATTGCTTCCCAGTACTAGTTTGTGTCTGAAAGGGCATCCGCTGCATAAAACATATGCTGGAGAAGTTGACGGTTCATACCACTGTGGCAACCCATGACAAATAAGGTACTATGTCAAAGGAAAATGAATAAATGACATACATTCACCGGCCACTTTATTAGTTACACCTCACTTCTACCGAGTTGGAACCCTTTTTGCCTTAAAACTGCTTTAATCCTTCATGGCAGATATAAGGTACTGGAAATATTCCCCAAATATTTTGGTCCATGTTGACATAATAGCATCATGCAGTGGCTGCAGATTTGTCAGCTGCACATCCATGATGCAAATCTCCTGTTCCACTACATCCCAAAGGTGCTCTTTTGGGTTGAGTTCTGGTGACTGTGAAGGCCATTTGAGTACAGTGAACTCATTGTCATGTTAAAAAACTAGTCTGATATGATTCACGCTTTATGACATGGCGCGTTATCCTGTTGGAAGTAGCCATCAGAAGATGGGTACACTGTGGTCATAAAGGGATGGACATGGTCAGCAACAATACTCATATAGGCTGTGGCGTTGACACAATGCTCAAATGGTACTGATGGGCCCAAAGTGTGCCAAGAAAACATCCCCCACACCATTACAACACCACCACCAGCCTGAACCATTGATACAAGGCAGGATAGAATCCATACTTTCATGTTTTTGACTCCAAATTCTGACCCTACCATTCGAATGTTGCGGCAGAAATCGAGACTCATCAGACCAGGCAACGTTTATCCAATCTTCTTTTGTCCAGTTTTGGTGACCCTGTGCGAATTGTAGCCTCAGTTTCCTGTTCTAAGCTGACAGGAGTGGCACCTGGTGTGGTCTTCTGCTGCTGTAGCCCATCTGCCTCAAAGTTGGGTGTTTTGTGCGTTCAAAGATGCTCTTCTGCATGCCTCGGTTGTAACGAGTGGTTATTTGAGTTACTGTTGCCTTTCAATCAGCTCGAACCAGTCTGGCCGTTCTCCTCTGACCTCTGGCATCAACAAGTTATTTGCGCCCACAGAACTGCTGCTCACTGGATTTTTTCTCTTTATCTGAACATTCTCTGTAATCCTTAGAGATAATTGTGCGTGTAAACCCCAGTAGATCAGCAGTTTCTGAAATACTTAGACCAGCCTGTCTGGCACCAACAATCATGCCACATTCAAAGCTCCTTAAATCACCTTTCTTCCCCATTCTGATGCTCGATTTGAACTGCAGCAGATTGTCTTGACCATCGCTGCGTCCGAAACTGCATACTTCCATACTATATAGTACGCTAAAATCAGTATGTGAGCCGAGTAGTATATCCGAATTCATAGAATTCGAAAATCAGTATGCGATGACTTACTACTTCCGGCGAGATTCTAGAGTGCGCATCCCATGCATGCTGCGCTATCCCATGATGCCCCGCGAGCGAATTCATGAATGGGAGTAAAGTGACGCAATTGACGCAGGTAGGTCACGTGACCATGACAAAATGGCGGATGTAGTACGTCCGAATTCCATTCATGCTTTTCACATTCATACTGTATAGAATGTACTTTTCTAACGGCCGAGTAGTACATTTAAATTCAAATGGAGTACCTACTGAGTAGTAAACGGTTTCGGACACAGCCCATGTCTACATGCCAAAATGTGCTGGGATGTGATTGGCTGATCAAAGATTTGCGTTAACGAGCAATTAGACAGGTGTACCTAATAAAGTTACTGATAAGTGACCTTTTAACTAATTAAAAGTTTCTCTTGCAGCATTTTAATGTCTTTTACTGTTAAAATCATAGTAATTTGGCAACATTACATACCCACAGCATCCGCACCAAGCATCTGTAGCACTCTGCATTCTGCAATGGTCTCATAGGACGGTCCAGCCAACATACAGTAAACGCCCTCTTGGAGGAAAGAGTCACAGCCCAGTTCTTTGGCAGTTTTCCGGACCAACTGTGCCAAATCTCGGTCATAAGCATCAGACATGCAGGGAAAGCGCACTCCAAATCTACAGGGACAGTAACACAAAGGTCAGTGAACGCTGGATGTACAAATCTTAATGATTATGTACTGAGGCCAATAGCACAGTCAACACTGACTGAACTTTTAAAAACATGTTTCTCTTTTAATTTAACTTCTTTTTTACATTTCTTTAAGCACAAAAAAAACTTTCATTTTCTAACAATACACACTGCAGCATCAATTCGTTTCTTATAGTGTCTGAAGTGAATTAGGTCTCTCTAAACCCCTCCCTTCTTAGAGTCTATTCTGCTCTGATTGGTCAGACGGCCTAGTCTGTTTTGATTGGTCTGGCAGGTCAGTAAAGACCATTGGCTGGCACTTTGCACATTAGGTGCAGAAAGTAAGACTAGAATTAATAGCGGAAAACTGGTTGCTAATATTTTCACAAACCCCTATATTACTATGGCAATCTGTTTTAACATTTAAATAGTTACGAGTATTTACAATATAATTTATACTGAATTAAAATTGTCCACTATTCACACATGTAACACATAATAAAGGAAACTGAAAAGTTCATATCTCAATGACAGATCCTATATAATTTGATATTTAGAAATGAACAAGATCTTTTAAATCATGGGTGTCAAATTCAGTTCCTGGAGGGCCACTGCCCTGCACAGTTTAGTTCCAACCCTGCTTCAACGCTGTTGAACGCCTTCAACGCAGTTAGTTTTCCCTGTTTATTTATGCTTTTGCATTGCATTATGGCACCTTGATCTTTCTTCCAACAACATTTAATTTTGAAAAGTTTAAAAATGTGACTTTTCTTAACATTTTTAATAGATTAAAATGATATAGTTTCTGAGTTGGTGTTCTGTACTATGGTACAACATCCTTGTAATAAATTGCCACTACATTTTCTGTTGTTATACAGACTTATTTCTCTTTATATTATTTTGTGTTGTTTCAAACTACTAAAATGCCAATAAAAGGCACTTTTAAACACCAAAAGTCAAGAGAGGGTGCTCGCTGCAGAGCCATTTGAGCAGAGCTGAGCTCCAGCGAGAGGGAGCATGAGCTCTCGTTCTGCCTCCTGTAAGCTGTTTTAATGCGTACACCAACCCCACCCCTAACCCTACCCCCATTGACATCACTCGTAGAAGAAGTGCAAAAAAGGTGGAGCTGAAGCTCATGCTCCCCCTCACTGGAGCTCAGCTCGCCCAAATGGCTCTGCAGCGAGCACCACTTGAAAGTCAACAGAGCAGAAATCAAGGCAACATAATGCAATTCACAACCATAAATAAACTGATAACATTTGTAAATCACAAAATACTGAAACTATTAATTAACAGACATTGTTTACAGTGCTGCAGTGAAAGTACAACTGCTACTGGTGTGCTGGTAAGCACACAAAATCACACTCTCCCATTCACCCACTGTGGCCAATTTAGTTCGTCTGATTCACCTATAGACCATTTCCATGTGGTGTCATTAGCCCATGAACATTTCTTGCTTGTTGTCAAACTATTTCCTAACTATAACAAGGGACAATTCAATCATAACTTGATGTTAAAACAGCTCTCATAACACTATTTATCGATATGTGGACCTTTTTTGGATTCTCTGAGACTATGGAAATTAAAAATGTAAAATAGGAAATACGTTAGGACCATTGTTATTTTTTTGCATCCCTCAAAATGGTCTATACGGCATGTCATTGAACTATGAAGTAAACTGGGGTAGAGGTGTGCATTCCCACGGCTGTACCGCAAGGGCCTTGAGACCCGACCGGATTTCTTACGGCGCAGGAATAAATTTCCAAAAAAAAGTGCGGCAGCGGTCAGTAACTGGTGTAATTTGAACCGGAGCAGGCAGTCTACAATATTGCTCCCGACTCCTGAACGAGTGAGTACGCGTATGTATGTGTGTGAAGAGAGAGAGAGCGTGATGCTGTGCGTCGCTAGCTTGGTGCTGTCTATGTGTGTGTGTATGTCACACATCACACTCGGGGCGGGTCGGACAGCGGGACAACAAATGCTTAGTATAAGCAGGAGCGGTTGGGTTCAGACTAAAACTTGATGTGAGCGGGATTAAAAATTTTGTCCCGCACAGATCTATAAACTGGGGCACCCAGGCGAGAGACACATTTAGATATGGGGAGAACACACAAACTTCTAACAAAAATGCCTATTTTTTCTTGTTGTTATGCAATTGTGCTAACCCCTTAGCCACCATGCTGCCTTTACACATTGTGTCACAGCTAATATTTAAAGAAGATTAAACATTTAAGTGTCTTGATGTACTAAATGGCAGTTCACCTTTCTTCATTGTGTCCACACAGAGGATTCTGGCCTGCAAAGCCTGGCATATTGATATGGTCTTTGATCACCATGATGTCACCCACTTTAAATTTAGGATTGAGTCCTCCAGCAGCATTGGTCACAATCAAAGTCTCAATTCCAAGAAGGAAAAACACTCTTACTGGATACGTGACCTAAAAATAGAAAGAGAATGCATTAGATTTAGAGCTGCTTTGACAAACTGTCCTCATCTTTATGAAGCAGGAAATTAAAGATTGAAATGTGAACTGATAAAAGCGGTTAATATGCTGCTATCAATTTTATTTAATATAACTGTATTCCTTCTTCCCCATCTTTGTCAAAATAGATTGCCAGGTTTGGGAATTGTTATTCTTGTATTATTAACTATTTTAATACATCAGCACACACAAATACAGTCTCAGCTATACAGTAGGAAATAAAGGGAAATATACAAACAAGTAAACAGAATAATACAGTCAGACTAGCTAAATACTAACTTTAATTATGAAGAATAGAAAATCTGGAGAAATTATTAATGAAATGCCAAAAATGTGGCTGCCAAAATCATCTGACTTTTAATGTATGTCATAGGTGAGTGGAAAAAGCATACAAACTTGAGACAACCACATTTTAAAGGAGGATATCTGAGGAGATGACCACAATAAAAGTATACATTTCTTTTCCAGATAAACCAAGATTAAAAGCAAATGCTTGTTGTAAGAGTACAGCACATTCTTTTCTCCACCAAATAACAAACACAATTCCAGATAAAAACAAAAATGTATCTCAAAGAGTCCTTGTAAAAAAATAATGTGTTTTCTTCCAAAAAGAGATAATTTTATTATAAGACAAGAAACAATGAGGGAATGGGTTGGCTGGTTTTATTTTTACAGTTAAAACAAAGATCAGAGGGGTTTCTGTAAATATTTTTCAGACGATTTATAATTGAGTTCATGCATGAAGTACATTTAAAACATTTAGTTACATATTTTAGACCAATCTGTATCTTCAATTTTGTGACCTAAATAATTTTTCCACACAGTCTTTAAACTCTCAAAAGAAGAAGTAAAGGAGTTAGACAGAGCTTTTTATACTTTGGAAATTAGCCCCTTGGAAAAACTGTTTGTTACAATTTGCTCTATTGCAGCAATCTCAAATCTCAGTTTTATCGGACAATAAAATGACACAGCAAAAATGGATTGTGATTGGTTTGAAATTTCTTGGAAATATTTAAGTGTACTGCCTGTAAAGAGGCATGATAATTTTAGAATCCCTAATTTGGACCAATTTGAATGACCAATATTTTGCAACGATTCACTGTAAAACCCAACAGTCAACTTTATTAAATGAAATGAGTGTAGTTAACTCAAAATTGACTGAAAGTTAATTCTACTCAATTGAAAAGAGTTTTGAACTCAGTGTTGAAGGTGATCCGTTAATCAAATACCTCATTACTTCAGCTAAAATGGAGTAAGTTTACAGTACTCATATAGATTAGTTTTTTTTTTTTTTTTTTTACTCAAATGGTTTGTAGTAATTGGTTTCCTCAAACGGTTTGAGTTGGCTTAACTTATTGGGCTTTACATTACTCAATTAGTTTGAGTTTTACTTGGCTCAAATTGTTTTGTTTACTTAAATGGATTAAGTTCACAGTACTCATTAGGATTAGTTTTTGAACTTAAATGGTTTGTGCAATCGTTTTCCTCAAATGGTTTGACTTACATTTTTGGGGTTTACAGTGTACTGGGAAATCAGGGTTAAAAGCAATTGGCAAGAACAAAGTGATATAGTTTTTAGTTTTTAACGTATAAGATTTGAAAAATTATTTCCATCCATAAAACACATGATTTAATAATAAAATATTATATTAATAGTTTTTTTTCTTCATTTATGTGCATTAAATTAAGTATTTTTACATAGGTAAGTATGTAGTGATTTTAATTACCTACAAAAACATAATATCATAAATCAGGATGTCAATAGAGAAAGTGCTGTCTAATTCTTTCTGAACATATTTAACTTGATTGCAGGCAACAAAAGGCAAATGTTTTATGTTGTAAAAGTTTATAGGAGGTCATTGGCTCAGTTGTCAAATGTTAACTATGATCATGTCTGTTATGTTTAAATCGCTGATAGCAGCAGTGAGAAGTCAATGGTTAAGTACAGAATAATCTCCCTGTTAGTGTCGTGGCATATAATTGATTAAATCCTGAGATGGTTCCTCACTTATGAAGCGATTTTTTTAATTAAATACTAACAACATGCCTTTTTGTTTTAAATACTGACTTATATCCACATCCATGTGCTTTTAAATGATTTGGTTTTGTTTTTTGCTCATTTTTTAGTGTGTACAATATAAGGTTAAAAATCTCATCAGCAAAATACAGAACAAGCATCATTTGATGACATTAAAATACTTTATTTAAGGATCACAATGAAGCCACCGAATACCATTTCTTTGTAGCATTAATTATACAGTACTTATACAGCCAAATCCTTTAAGAAACTGGGTTTTACCTATTTGTCAGCAAGACATTTTTAATTATTTCAAATATAATACAATTTTTGTCACTCACTGCCACTCTAATAAGTTTAAAATTTAATAAGCACATGTCAGAATAAGTATTCTGTGACATTAGTACATATATACAGTCACCGGCCACTTTACTGGACACTTTTGTCCAACTACTTGTTAACACAAATTTCTAATCAGCCAATCACATGGCAGCATCTCAATGCATTTAGCCATGTAGACATAGTCAAGACGATCTGCTGCAGTTCAAACCACAGCCTATCTGTGTATTGTTGCTGACCAGGTCCATCCCTCTATGACCCCAGTGTACTCATCTTTTGATGACGACTTTTTCAAGCAGGACAACACGCCATGTCATAAAGCGCAAATCATCTCAGACTGGTTTCTTAAACATGACAATGTACTCAAATGGCCTCCACAGTCACCAGATCTTAATCCAATAGAGCACATTTGGGATGTAGTGGAACAGGAGAGTCACATCATGGATGTGCAGTCGACAAATCTGCAGCAAATGTGTGATGCTAATATGGACTAAAATCTCTAAGGAATATTTCCAGCACCTTGTTGAATCTATGCCACAAAGGATTAAGGCAGTTCTGAAGGCAAAAAGAGGTCCAACCCGGTACTAAGGTGTACCTAATAAAGTGGCCGGTGAGTGTACATGCTACACTGAACGATGATGAAGCCTTATTTCTCCCATATTTGCTAAAGCAGATACGTTACTTTCATTAAATATTATGCTTTCTATTCATATAAAATCCCTGTTGTAAATTTAATTTGATGCAGGCACCAAAATGAGGCTTCTTATCTTTCACCCATATCCATTGAAAATACAATTTCCCTTTGGTATTTAAAAAAATGACACTCACCGTAGCAACATTATAGCCCTCATAAAAATGGAAACGGCCTTGCATGCAAACACACTGCTTCCCATTCAGCTCTCCAAACACCAGCTGACCTTTATGTCCTTGCACTGAAGAGAAATGAGACAGCACTTTTTTATGTTCGTCATTGTCAACAATAATCAAATTATGGCATTGAGATTAAGTCACTGAATAATTTATGAATCAAAAGCGTCTAGAGGAGCTTTGAATATACACTATAAAAAAAATTGTGTGTTCATTCAAGCAAATGAAATCTCCTACCTGTGCTGTGTGGAAAGCGTGGGATTTTGTCATAAGAAAACACTTGCTTGTTGTCCAGCAGGTCAGCCAATCCGCCGAGTCCCGAACCACAGATTATTGCCACTTTGGGCCTGATATCTGTATTAGCAAGCAGCCAGTCAGCTGTTTCTTTGTACTCCTCATAGCTGAAGCTAGATGAAAACAAAGTATTGGTTTTTGCATAATAGTCAAAAACACACATACAATTCCACACAATTGAACTTAATTTCTGACTGAAGGTTACTTGGTTATGAAAACTGTAGTTGTCAGAATCTCTCTGTTAGACACAAACACATGCTAATGTCACATGACCTGTCAAGTGCATTGACCTAGTCGAGTTTCAAGAGTGAAGACAAGGTGTTCTGTGAAAGTATCTCTTTGGTGAACAGTCGCTGTAGTAAATGATTTCCAGTAACTGTCTTTCTTGGGTGTGTGAGCCGCTACTGTTTAACTGCTGGTCAAGTTAGTAAGGCTAGTGAACAATCCGTGGGGTGTAAATGCATTTCAGAGATGCGAATATTTGAAGTGAGATATATACCCAATAATCTGCGATTGTCACTGAGCTTAATGGATCTTAATTATTAGAGTATGTTATGGTATTTTTATTTGTAGCTTCGCTTATCTGTAGTGTATGCTAATACAGTAAAAGCTTTCAGGTGTATGTGGCTAAAAATTCCCTTATTAGGAATTTCACACCAAGAAACTAAAAGCAAAGTCAAGAATAATGGACATAACAATATTTTTAGATTATCATGCTAAAAATATTTTTAAAATACTTTTAGAATATTTTTTTTTTCAGATTTTGACAGCCTATAATTATCCACCTTATATTTAAAGAGACGGTTCACCCAAAATTAAATTTTTGTCAATATATTAACTATCAGGCCATTGAAGATTTAAAAACTGTGGTCTTTGATGACTCATAAAATGCAAGTCAGCGGCTACTGGCACATTGAAAGTCCAAATAATGCTAAAAATAATAATAATTAAAAAATTTTCTGTGCAAGACACTGAACATTATTTACAACCCTATTCATGCTTTAGACCAGGGGTGCCAGATACGTCAATTGCAATCTGCCGGTCGATCACACAGCTGGCGTGGGTAGATGGTTGCATGGCATTAAAAAAATAGTCATCAACCTATCATCCATCTTCACTAAAATTTGTCGCTTGATTGACATACAGAGTAGCCAGTCTGATGTCTGATATTTTCTGACTCATGGTGCTGCAAAAAATAGCGAAGTTGGCACAGTCAAGTCCAAAAATCATTCCACCATGACTCATGATCTTTCGGTAGTGTGCTTGAGGCTGGCTATCAGCAGCTACTGTTCGGACTATGATTCCCTGGCTAAATCCATTCAGTGCAAGCCATCAGCCTACATCAATATATATTATACAAATACAGAATTTCCATTATGTCTATAAACAAATGTATGTTTTGCATTTTTATATTTGGTAGATTATTTTGACTTGGTCGTTTTATAAGTTGCTTACATGCTTAAAAAGTGTGGGCACCCCTGCTTTAGGCCATATGTCTCAAACTGGATTCCTGGAGGGCTGCAGCTCTGCGCAGTTTTGAATCAAACAGAGCTGACCCAACTAGTTAAGGTGTTCAAAACTACTATAGACTTTTAAGCTCGTGTAAGTTGAAGGTGGTTGTGGCTGAACTATGCCGAGTTGCGGCCCTCCAGAAATGAGTTTCAGACTATTGCTTTAGACTGTCATGAACACACTCAGTACTTGTTGTTATTCATTTTCAATTTCTTACAAAATCTGATAATTTTACTTTATGAGATTTTGTTGTATGTAGCCATTGACTTGGCTATGAATCACCAAGCACCACGTTTCATCCCAAAATCTTCTACTGGTCTTCTAAGGATCTACTGAAGAGGAAAAAAATTATCCCTGTATTGGATATCCCGAGGATGAGTAAATCAGTAGATTTTCTTTCAGCTATTTGTAACTTGAATGTCTTATCAATATTCAGTTATACAGTAGCTGTGTTATGCTGCTTGCAATTGCAAACTATTTGAGTAAAATCATTTAACTTTATTTTGTGTTAACACAACGGTTTTAACCAACTAAGATTGATGAGAGATTTGAAGATTGGTATAGGCTTGGCATCTCTACTTTTAGTTTAATTTTCCCTAAAAAGATAGTTTTTTTTAATTTTTTTAAAGAAAATCTCTGATATGTACAGTCTGGACAAATGAGATATTTTTTCGTACCTCCAAAGCAGGATCTACTTTAATAGTGAGATTAGGTGTTTAAAGAACCATGCCCTCAACTTAATTGACTTAGTTATTGACATCTATAGAACAAAGACAATATAGGGGACTTGTTCAGAATTGTAGTCTGCCATCCAATACACCAAGGAACACTCAACAAATGACATCAGACAAAAATTAGAGCGAGAATCCAACCTAGTCATCTCATATATCTGCTCAGTAGGCCACTTCTTTCAGCTCTGGGATGTGACGAGATTTTTGCCGAGGGAATCTTACCAGATACTTTATAACTCCCAAGTTAACATGTATTCAGTCATGGGAGAAGGATAGGGAATAGTGCTTAGCAAAACTATTTGTACACACTTTGGAGTTGCCCAGCCATTCAGTCATCCTGGCAGGATGTAATGCAAGCAATACGAAATATTTCTGGTGATGGGATGGACTTTTTTTTACAACAATTTACCTGGATGGATACAGAATATTGCAGCCAATTTAATGGTAAAAGACAAGTGTTTATTACAAATACTTCTAACAACCAAGAAGAAAACTGTAACTCGATAGTGGCTACAACTCAAAACCCCTACAAAATCTGAATGGTTGGATAGCATATCTAACGTTTACAATAGAGGATGACATTTTTATTTTTGAACTACAAATGGACAAATACCTGCAATATTATTAGAAATGGATTGTACATATGCCTTTACACAGTGTAAACTGATCTTTATATGTATTTGTTAATGTGATCTGTAAGGAAATATGTGACGAGTCAACTGTTAAATTAAGTTCTGGTGTGTTATTGTGTTTTTTATTTATTATTTGTAATTGTATTTTTTTCTTTTCCTATTTTTTCTTTTAAAAAGGAGAAATAAAAACTTAAAGTTAAAGTTAAAAAACACAAAGTTAAAAAAGTTAAAAAAACACAACGGTTTCAAGTGCCAAGATTTACCTGTAAGCTTGCTATTCTAGTTATTTACTGAAGCATGTTCATGGAAATTCAATTTGTGTTGTGTTTACTCGATATGACAATGCAAGCTATTAAAGGAAGCGTCTGGAAATGCTTTCTGCTTCACATGAAGTGTCGAGAGTGTTAAAATGATTGGAATTATTTAATAAAACAAAAACAAAAAATGTAAAGCAGTAGGTTGATCTCATACCAAATTGCTTACACAATTATAATTCCCACGTTTATTATCAAAACGCCTTTTATAGCTGTGAGGCACGAAGTAACGGGAATCACATTGGGCAGGAAGAGCTCGGTGGCCGCATGCGCTGTCCGTGGTGCTGCAGGGCGTTGCGGGATCAGCACTTTCCATTCAGAGCGCTGAGCTTCCAACACTACGTGACTCCATAGCGCTCAATGAGAATGCACAATGGGCCTCTTATTTTACAATCACAGCGCTGCCTATTTTAGTTTTTCGCATTGAAAGACCTGCCAACAACCATGTCCTCATTTAGGACGGGTTTCAAAGCTGTCATCTGCAGGTTTAATAGTGGCGCCTGTCTCTTTAAGAGTTGCGTATAGGCTAGAGCTAGGCTACTGTGCGCATCCACCAAGCCGAATAGGAGGATTCTGTTACGTAACCATATTTATGAGGAGTTGATTGTATACATGTGTTATTATAAATGTATTATAAATGTTATGAGCGTCTAATGGACTGTCAAAAAACATTACATTTTTACATTAAAGGTGGAATGCACATATAGGCAATAACTAGTGAAAAAACACCCAGTATGCTAACTAAACAGAACTGAAATCCAGTAAAGACACTGCATGTAAATTAGATTGATTTGCCTTTTTACTTCAGGTTGATCTATGATTGATAAGGGATGTAAATAAACACAGCGACAGCTGAGTTGTCATAGCGACAGCTCGGCAATGTAATCGCATATATTTCTCCTCAATAATGTAATTTAGGCGTTCTGGATGATGTAGAATGTTGATTTGGCAGGTACTGTCTGCATGTTTTAATGCAGCGAACTGAACACACAGCCTATATGCTTTTCGTTTTTCATCTTACCTGCATTCGCTGGATGTTGACATGTCCGCAGCGGCTGGTCGAATTACTGAACGTGATAAATTGCTGGCGCGAGGAGGAATAATAATAATACAGAAGAACCTTAGCGAGAGGTCAAACACCCGACGGTCTCGAGGGAAGGGTGGCGTGACGGAGGAGGAGTCCGTCTTAAACCCGTTTCTTAAACTGCGCTCGCTGTTCTAATCCAATTTTCTGTCAGAATGGGCCGCTCACTGACCCGCAGTTAAAGAGCCTTGAGAACTGTCATCCTGCCAGGACCAGCACAGACCTGTAGCTGTGCCTCACTCACTACAAGGGAAAACGCTTCTCTGGACTTTCATTGCAGTGTCCAGTGAAACGGTTAAAGTGTCAGTTGTCACGCGCAGACATAACCGGTGCTTCTTTAACTCTTGGAAGACTCATCCGTAACACTTTAAATGTGTTGCTTCGCCACACTGCGCAATTAAAATTGGATATGTTTAGCTAAATCTAAATGAAGTTCTTCACAAATATCCACACTTGGAAAAAATGAAATACTCAATTAGAAGTTCTAGCAAATTCTCTAATATGTTTAGCAAACTTTATTATCATATTTCTCTGTACTTCCTGGGGAATAATTGCTTATCCTGTATGTAACTAATTTCCCTCTTTTCTTTTCTTTCTCTGTCCAGATATTCATGCTTAGTCTTTGCTAGCCTACCATTGTAAGGTAGCACAGCACTATCCCTGATTGTATCACTCACTATAGTTGTCTATTTATTTATTTATTTATTTATTTATTTATTTATTTATTCATTCATTTATTTATTTATACATTCATTCATTTATTTTCTTTTTGGTTTAGTCCCTTTGTTAATCTAGGGATTCGCCACAGCGGAATGAACCAGCAACTTGCAGCACATGTTTTACGCAGCGGATGCCCTTCCAGCTGTAACCCATTTCTGGGAAACATCCATACACACTCATTCACACTCATACAGGGAAGATTTTAGCTTACTTATTTCACCTATACCACGTCTTTGGACTCATGGGGGAAACTGGAGCACCCGGAGGAAACCCACACGAACACGGAGAGAACATACAAACTCCACAGAGAAATGCCATCTGACCCAGCTGAGGCTCGAACCAGTGACCTTCTTGCTGTGAGGCAACAGCGCTACCCACTGCGCCACCGTGTCACCCTTATTTATGTATATTTATTTATTATATTATTATACTGTTTTATACAATAATGCTGTTTATTATTGTTATCAATATTATTTTTCTTGTCTTTACTATTTTTATTATTATTGTAATATTTTATTATTATTATTGTCAATATACTAGGCAGTGTATTCAGGGTTTGTTGAAGTGGGTTTATAAAAAAATATATATTTCTGAATAAACAATGACATCTGTACTCAAAAAAAAAAAGTTCTTCATGGGAAGTCATTTGAGTTCAACAAATTGCCCTAATCTTAAATTGTAACTGTAATAAACAAACTGTAATAAGCATTTGAGTTGGTTCTGGTTCTATGAAGATTAGAAAAAAGCTGATGTTTAATTTAGCATTCTTCACATAAGTGTGTTGGTTCTGGGCTCTTTAATGAAGAGTTGTAACCATTAGGCTATAAACACTGAGAGAATTACTGAGTCACCAGTGTGTGCTTTTTAGTGGTTGATTCTTGTTATGTTTATTTAGGCTATTTACTCATTAGTTGAATATGCCATTTGTGTCATTTGGTTTGTTTTCTATGAGTGTATGTAAACTAAATTGCATTAGAAAGCAGCTTTGTTATTTCTTTAAACAAAATACCTTTTTAAAATTGTATTTAATATGAAGTTAGTGTGCTAGCAGATTTATGGATAAAACAAGAGTTAATGAGTTATTTTCTGAAGTTATTTTATAATAATACATTGGCAGTTTTTCTTAACACAAATTATATAAAAATGTAAACACGTTGATATTTTAAAGCAGATTTTATTGTTTTAATATCTTGTAGCTCTTTCAGTAAATCAACTAAATCCTACACAGTGGCCTGTATTAAATACCTGTCATATATAATTTGTGCTCAGCATAAATGATCACAACTTCTTTTGAAAATGAATGATGTTATCAGTTTTTCAGTGAATATAGGCAATCCTTTTTCATGCATTTACACAAAACTGTTTATTAATTTAAATAGTTATATCTATTAAAATAAGAGCTTGGTTACCTAACATATTTAGGAATTGATAGAAAATACATTTTAATTCAAATTAGCTATTGAAAAAAATCCAGTTTTTTTATTTTATTTTATTATTTTCACCAACATTACGAATATTTGGACTATAATCTTAAGATTTTTTTGGATTAGTATATTTAGTGTGTGTGTGTGTGTGTGTGTGTGTGTGTGTGTGTGTGTGTGTGTGTGTGTGTGTGTGTGTGTTTGTGTATATATATATATGCAATTTTTGGTAGATTTTTTATATACATATATTTATTTACATTTATATACAGTCAATAAATACAATACAATGTGCAGGCTCCAGTTTATTCTTCTTTCAGATTTAATCATAATGCCAGCAAAGGGGAAGGATACTCTTTGTTTGTGGTTGTTAAGTTGCTATGGCACAGATATCCTCACCTGCAGCTCTGGCCCTAGCACTTCAGCGAATCACAGGATGTCTTTAAACACGCGCACCAATCGGAGAGCAGGTTACTAAGAACAGTGAGTACCCAGTAGGCACTGCCGTCATGGTAACTACCACGCTCAAAGTTAAGAAACAAACACAGACTGAAGAGCGTTTCAAGAAATTAGCGGAAATTTTAAAAGCTTTATTTAATCAGTTGTTTTAAAACTTAGTTGACAGTTCTTATAAAGGTAATTTTGAAACGTCTTGTATTACTGATGAGCACAACTTTACTAACAAAGCCACTCGACGTCTACAACAATAACAACCGATTTCGCAGACACGCGAGTTTTTTTTAAATGCCAGCCTCGAATGTCCAAGCTACTTACTCAAACCTTCGAAGTTCACGCGAGAAGATGCCAGCGGGATTCAAAACAAAAGTGACACCCCGACATCCCAAACTGGTGAAACGGGAGGCAAATGTTTCAAAGGTGAGATTGTGAATGTTTTGGTATCTTTACAAAGTTTAGATTTGCACAAAGAAAAACTAACTGCATTAGTTATGATCAATAAATCCTGATTATTATTATTATGTATAAATACACATAAATAATTAGTTAATGCTAACTCGTACATTAGTTAGTAATAGGCTTATTCTTGACAATGTCAGGTGTTTTTTAGTTAGTTAGTGTTTGTCAGTTAATGTTTTTTTTGTTATAATACTTTATTAAGCAGAAACTTGAATGACAGTAAAGTAAGATTAAGATATACAAACTGAATATTATAATCTGCTGGTTTTGAACATTGTAATAATGAAATATAGTCAAGTAAACAACTAAAACATTACCCTTAAACCAACCTAAATCGACCCCACAAAAAAGGAAAGAATTCTATTTTAATAAAAAAAGGGCGTAAGTCCAAAGACATGTGCTATAGATAAATTGGGTATGCTAAAATTGTAAATTGTCTGTAGTGAATGGCTGTGAATGAGTGTGTTGGGTGTTTCCCAGTGATGGGTTGCAGCTGGAAGGGCATCCGCTGCTTAAAACATATGCTTGATAAGTTGGCGGTTCATTCCGCTGGTGGCGACCTAAGAATAATAAAGGGACTAAGCCGAAATTAAAAAAAAGGAATTAAAAAAAAAATTATATATATATATATATATATATATATATATATATATATATATATATATATATATATATATATGTATATATATATATATATATATATATAAAGAGAAAAAAACCTGGGAGGCAAGGGGAGGTGGTTGTGGTTTATATCTAAAAAGAAGGTAAGGTTTCGACAAAAGAAATCACAGGGTTCCACATTTTATAAAATAAACTGCCAGAGTCCCTAACAGATTGTTTAATTTTTTCCAAATGCAAAAAAGACATTAGGTCTTTCAGCCAGGACAGATTTGTAGGAGCACATGGGGATTTTCATTAATTAATTCATTTTCAGCCTAGTCCACACAGAAATGCCCGATGACCAAGCCGAGGCTTGAACCCGCAACCTTCTTGCTGTGAGGTGACAGCGCTACCTACTGCACCACAGCATCGGCCTGGGGATTTCCAATTTAGCAATATTTGCCTTCTGGCTAGCAATGAGGCGAAAGCGATAATATCGATATGGTGCTTATAAGCGTCATTAGAGGGCAAACCACAAATTGCAAGGATTGGTCAGGGTTTCACAGAAATATTAAGTGTACTTGTATATCAGGTGTTCCTGTAAATGTTCTGTTTCAGTTACATTTGATTAGATTGATCTATTTTTTTTAGTTTTAGTTTTGCAAAAGTAAACTTTGAGGTTTTTTAACAGCTGGTTAGGAAGTTTTGTTTGTACAGCAGATTATAATTTCTAAATCCACTAAACGTTGACAAAAATATTATTTCTATTCCAAAGAATTATTCTAATAGCACACCTGAACTTTTTTTGTAACAAATGAGAATTATTTGTTATCAGTGTTGTATTAAAATGTGACGTTATCATTTAATACAAGCCCTTCATTCAAACTCACAAAACTTCCATCATGCACTTTCATTTAGACACAATAAAAGGCTGTATGTTTAAAACAATATATTAAAAATGACTCACATCCCACATTATATTAAACATTTAAGTAAAAATCTTTCTGAATTTGACCATGAAATGAATAAGTGCATTTTTATGTTCATATTTTGACTGACAATGATTAAAAGTATTGTTTTATTTGCTAAACTGCTTCTATTTTATTTTTTATGACATTTAAACCCAGTGGACTCTTGTGTAAGTAATGGAGTTCTGGGCACAGTTGCATAAACATATCCCATAACGTTAAGACACTTAATAAACAAATTTGACCAGTTAGCCAAAGGGTAATCAAATCAGTCTTGCTTTTTTGATTCTGATTAGAGCAATCAATCTCTTTTTAGAGACTTTAAAAAAGTTTATGCCAGGCTTGAAGAAAAATAATTGAAAAATAATAACATTTTTTAAATGGTTGTCTATATATATCGCACATTTCATACACAGTGGTAATTCAAAGTGCTTTACATAAACGGAAATAAAACAGACAAGTATAAGAAAACAAAAACATATTATACATTCAATTTATTTTTTATTTTTTTAATCATTCTTTTACAATACATGTTTTGCCCAAACTTTTTTTTTCAAAGAATAATGCATGCAACATAAAATACTGCTGTAGAAAAAGCACAATATTTTTTTCATTGTATACATGTGCACTCAGAACAGCTT